CTTTACTCATATTTTGCTCATGAATAGACATTATGTGAGATAAATGTTCTTTAAAAACAAAAGACATTTTAACCACATTTTTCAAAATGAAAAGCAAATGCAAAGGAATCAAGGAAAATGTTTAAGCTCAATGGAAAATCACACATTCATATATTCAACTATAGAAATAGATTGTGTCCATCTCTGTAATTCTAATTAGAAATTTTAATTGTAATTTTAAAATGTGTGCCAGTATTCATGGAAATATCCCTTGTGCTTGCAACATACCAAAGAGTTTTTGCAAGAATGGAATGAACAAGTAGATTCAACCCACTGGAGTCAAGGGAGGAAAAATTGGCACCCTCAGAAGCCCTGGGCTTTGACCGAGAGAATAATTAAACTGACTCGAGGTATAGGAGCAGCATCAAGGGAAGGGATGTCAAAGGATCTAAAACATCATGAACACCACCACAGCTGTTTGAAGCAAGACTAGTCCGTTTTCAATAAGGAAACAGAAGGCAGTCCATCAATTGAGATGAGTGGTCAAATTGCAAAAGGAGAGCTCCTCTGGATTTACACAAAGGGCCACACAAAGGCATCAATAATAGCTAGAAGCTATTTTGCTTCTTTCCACCTAGCAACCAAGAACTCAGCTGCACCAGTCTCTACTTTCTTCAAGTAAGAGCTTGTTTATTTGCCAGCATTTCCAGGAATATACCCTGAAGGCACAAATACTTCTCCCTAGAGGGTAATCATGAAAATGTCTTTTTAACCAACAAGGACTATATAAGCATAGTGGCACACATGCATCTATGCACACATGTACATTATATCGATAGCTGTTTCTAGGAGATTTATGGATTAGAAGAAGAATGCTGGGATTTTCTTTGTATGTTATGCAAAAATCCATCAGTGCTGGTTTTCATGGCCAGTTGCTTGGCCCAAATCATCCTAAGATACCCAGTGACTTATACAATGAAAATGAAAAGCAAACACAAAGGAATCAAGGAAAATGTTTAAGCTCAATGGAAAGTCACACATTCATATATTCACCTATAGAATATATTGTTTCCATCTCTGTAATTCTAATTATTCCTTTCAGTCAGGATTCAGGCCTGATAAGGGACAGAAACAGCATTGGTTGCACTTTTAGATGATTTCTGAACTTAGAATAACGTGTCACTTTGAATGTACACTAATCGGCATACATTAAAATGAAATTATGTTGCATACAGTTCTCAAAGGGTCTCCATTTCTAATATAAACATAAACATGACAAGATAAATAAATAAAACATACATACATACATACATACATACATACATACAAAATTATGCATGCACCCACATATATGACATGGAGAAACAACGCAGTCTAGTTCGGATGTTGTATACATGTACATGGCGAGAGAAACAAATTTTGCAAGTTTACCAGACGGATGGCATAGGGAACAAAGCTGCTACAGAATCTGGAAGTCCTGCTAGAAATACTTCGAAATCTCCTCCCAGAGGGGAGCAACAGAAACAAGTGGATGTGTGAGGTCTCTAACAATGCTTTGAACTCTAAGCACATATCACTTATAAGCAGTATCCTGAATAATGGGAAGCGAGCTTCCTATAATATTCTCGGTTGTCCTTAACATTCTCTGAATGGACTTTCTATCTGAGACACTGCAGCCACCAAACCAAACAGTGCTCTCCTCATCAGACGCAGGAAATGCAGACATTGGGTTGCACACTTCACTAAGGATGATGATTAAAGAGACAAGTTAAGATTGTTAGTTATCTGCATCCCCAGATACGTAATACTGTTGACTACCTGCATCCTTGATACTGAGTGGAGTATGATCATGCCAGCTCTTTCTAACACCTACGATGATCTCCTCTGTTTTATTAACATTTAGAACCAGGTTACTTTTATTGCACCAGTCCACCAGAGCCTTCACCTCTTCCCTATATGCATCTTCATTGTCATCCCGGATAAGACCCACCACTGCCGTATCATCCGCATACTTCACAATATGATTTGTAGCAGATTTGGCACAACAGTTGTGGGTCATCAAGGTCAACAGTAGCTGATCCCTGTTGGGAACCCGTACTCTAGGAGATGGAGTTGGAAACTTTTCTTCCAACTCACACACTGGGACCTATCAACAAGGAAATCCAGGATCCAATTACATAAAGGAGTATTGAAATCTAATAGGCTCAGTTTGTTCACTAAATACTAAGGAACGATTGTGGAGGGAGTGGAATTGGGGTTGTGCGACCACCCTTGCTCTGCTCGACCTCTCAGCAGCCTTCAATAACATCCACCATGGTACCTTTCTGGGCTGGCTCTGGGGATTGAGGTGGGCAGCACTCTATTGTGTTCATCTCCTTCTCCAGAATCAATACCAGTCAGTAGGGATGGGAGGTGGGGGGAGTGCAGTGTAAGAGATCTCGCTCCTGGTTCCTACTACGTGGAGTGGGCTGCCACATAGTTTGCTGCTTTCTCCTTGCTGATTCAACTTCTATCTGAAGCTGCTGGCTGAACTCATCAAGTGTCATGGGCTGAAGGGTCATCAATATGCTAATGATACTAATTATACATCTCTGCCCCTGGTGAATTAAGTGATGCTTTGATGTCTTACTGTGGTGCCTGGAGGCTGTGAGGGTCAGGATGGGGAACAACAGGCTTCAAATGAACCTCTGTTAATTTTTCACAAGTCCCTCAAGACTTGGCTATGTGTCATCAGGCTTGAGGGTCCCAAGGAAATGGTAAGTTGTCGAGGTGGCTCCATTATTGTTAATATTTGGTCTCTGCTTGCCTTTTTAAAAGTAGCCCTTGACTTCTGACTGGTCCTCAAAGTTACAACTACTGCACCCTCCCTGTGGTCAAGTGAACACATTTCAAGTACTGAGCAATCGGCTCATATTTACAACTGATTGTAGCATTCCAGGGTCACATTATCACATTTTGTGACTTTTTGTTGTTGTTTTATGCCCAGAGGATAAGCTGGATTTGGACTTACAGCCACATGTTTCACTTAATGACCACACTATTCATTTAACAACACTGGTGACTCATTTACCAACTGTTGTAAAAAAGACATAAAATAATGACTTATGACCCATCAAGTTACAACTAAAATTCGGGGCTCAAATGTGGTTGTAAGTCAAAGACTACCTGTAATAACATTTTTAAACTGTTGATTGGTTTTTACACTATTAACTTGTTTTGGTGAATGTCACCCAGAGTCACACTTTAATGTAAAGACGATGAATGAAACCATTTTAATTGTTATGAATGACTATTTATATCTCATAATCAGTAATTATGGTGGTAAATTAGTAAATAGATATCATTTCCCTCTTTCTCTATTTCTGAAGCCTGTTTCTATCATATCAAAAACATTTCTCTATTCATATGTGTTCTATTTTCCATTTTTTCCCTCTCTTATATAACATATGCTATATGCATACACACAAGTGTAAATAAAACAGGCACACCAAATATTGTATGCCTTCAAACTTTTTTGAAAATGTGCCAAATATCAAGCCCAAGAATGAGATCGTATGATTATTTTGCTTCTTGCTGGAGACACAACTCCATTCACTTGCCACTGAACAGCTGTTGTCCAAGGAACAGACTGTGTGGAGGCTGAAGAGGCATACCAAACTACCAATGGCCTTTGTTACTCTCTGGAGCACCATTCCAACGTTAGTGCCACAAATACCAAGGCTATGAAAAAAGTTCTTTATGATTATAAAAAGAGGCCTGCCATTTCATGCAAAGAATAAACTACAGAAATGAGAAAAACTCTACTGTGGGTAGCAAAACCATGGCTAATGGCACCATGTATGAAGAGGTCTGTCTGTCTACATCACAAATTCTTCTTGTTCATGATCCCAAAGGAGCTAGTTGCAGTTTCCTATTTCTCCCATCCAACATGCCACAAAAATATAGGTAATCCCCAGGTTACGGTCGTTCCCTTAGCGAATGTTCAAAGTTATGCTATAAGCGCTCCCTAATGTTTACAAACAAGTCCTGAAACTATGAATGTTGCAGCACCATGGTGAAGATCTAGAGACTCTCCACTTGGCCTGTTTTTGGCACTTCAGGCCTTTGGTTAGTACGCAGAGAATGGAGGCCTAAAGTTCTGGAAGGTCACTCGGGATCAGTAGTGCGAGATTTCACACTTTTGATCTCTTGTGGTCTCACGGTACTTTAGGCCTCTGCAAATGGAGGCCTAGACGAGATCTGCAGCAAAAGGCTTTGCAAATGGACAGAAGCTTTTCCTCCATTTGCAAACCCTTTTGCCATTTTTGCAAAAAGCATTTGCAACCCAAAATGGAGCTGCGCAGCTCTGTTTTGGCATGTGCGGGTCCTGTCCAGCGCTTTGCAGCCCAAAACGGAGCTTCAGAGGGCTAGTCCACTCCTCTGGAGCTCCATTTCAGGCTGAAAAGTACCAGACGAGGACTAAGCATGCCTAAATGGAGCTTTGGAGGGGCGGGGGCAGCTCTCCGGTGTTCCATTTCAGGCAAAGTACCGGACAAGGCCTGTCCAAGCCAAAATGAATCTTCGGATGGGCATGCATAGCTAAGAAGCTGGAGAGGAGACAGCTTGCTAGATCTCTGCACAATAAGTGACCCGGCGTGGTAGGTTGGGTCGGGGGGAAAAGCAATTGGGGGGAGCATGAGGTGTTTCAGTAGGCTGAGGAGGCCTTAAGTGGTCTTAAGCAGGTTGCCTGTTCCATCACACACCCCCATGGCCTTCCCCACCCTGAAATATCTCATATGAGCTTAACAAACTGCATAGTCGATTAGTGAATGTGTGGGCGAAAGGAGAGAGGGATCACGTTCAAGGTACGAGATTCACTCCCACAAATCCTTGGGTTAGAAATGGGATGGGCAGGCTCCATTATATTTGGCATTTGAGCACTACCTGTATGGCAGATCATATGTCTCACAAAATATGTATCCCAGAAAAAGTAAATATAGTCTCCTATTTAATTTTTTTCTTTTTTTAACAGATGATCCTACCTGCTGTGTTTGCTGCCGCTGAATGGCTCTCACTTTGGGAACTGGGCTCTCTCGGGAGGAGGAAGACTGTTGCTGGGATTGATTTCCCTCCTGAAGAGGCTCCATTGCCATCGTGGCAGATGCTACAGACTTGCTGCCTGTGCTCCGAAGAGAAGCACTGTGGGGAAGTGAGCGGGGTGATCTGATCCTTGAGCTGGAACTCGCTTGGTCCGCTTTGTGGATTTGGACCTGCACAGTGTAATTCTGAGGAGCTGGCATAGCTCGTTTGTCCAGTAGGGTGCCCTGACCAGGAAAATCTTCATTCAGGGTGCTGCGTTTGGCATAATCCTCCATGCTGCTATTGCTGAGTACACTAAGATTAAGGTCTTCACTATTCAGGCTTCGGGTACTGGTGACACTCAGGAGATCCAAGCTTGATTCCATGGACACTTTAGGAATTGCCTGACAATTGTTGAGATGGTAAACTGGATTCTGGAAAAAAAGAGCATGAAGAATGCCTTGCTGATTTAATGCCGAGGGAAGTGGTCTCCTTACTTGGGGGGCAGTCTGTGGTGTTCTGAGCTGCTTGATATTTGCCACCTGGATGACTGAAATCTGACTGCCAGATAAACGTACCGGGGCCTCGTGCATCATGGATCCAGATTCACACTGTGCGACATTGGGATCCTGGAGATTCATCAGCGATATGCTTCGGACATTGGGCAGATTGGTCTCTTCGCCTTGATCTGAGTAAGTCACACTCCGGGATGACGTTTGCTGCATCGAGAGCAATTTTCCTTTGAAGTAGTCTTCATTTGCTGGAGGGGCTGTCTTCAACTTGCGCTCACTGAGAAACAATCAAAACAGTCACAAACATTATATCTGCTTGTTTGCATGCACACACACACTTAAACAATTTATCTGGTTCCATATTAATCTCCGTATTTGGGTCATCCAAGTGGCATAGCCTAGGTGGGCAGGGGTGTTATTTATGAATGGGAATGGAACCAAAAGTCACTTTGGTTCCCGTTCAAAAGCAATGGTTGTTGAAAGAGATAAGTTGCTGGTTGCTTTAAGTAAGCAACATTGTTCTGAAAAGGAACATTTGGCTCTGTTCTCCTAGCTATCTTAAATCATGCAATGCCTAATCTATACATATGTTTCAGCATTCTAATCTTAATAATTTTAGCCTGCCTCAATCGATCCACAAGGCTCCAGGTTGCTGCAGGAGAATCGTAGAAACTACATTCTACTGCTCATATTCTTGTTTTGTATTTCCATTAATGGCCTCACTTATAAGCATAAGTAAAAAAGCCATAATGGTGAGAAATTACTCCTTTCAGAGGTATATCTTTTTAGTATGGATAAAAAGTATAAAGCACATTAAAGATAAAACCATAATTATTCAAAAGAAGATCTGCCTGCCCAACATGCATGCATTACTCATTCATGACATAAAGCAACCTTTATGACCCCAACCTTTTCAGTTTTGTGGAGCGGTGTGGGGGAAGAGGGGGGCTCCACATGAGTTGTGGACGTGTATGCAGCTCCATCTGTGTGAATGGTGGGCATGCACGCCTACCACTCACACAAATAGATCGCACACACACACGCTCGTCTGCTGTTCGCATAAATGGGAGTATGCATGCTCCCGCTTCCAAATGACTCAAGGGCTGGAGGTGGGCCATGGCTGGGAGGTTGGGGACTCCTGACATAGAGGTAAGATAGAAACCAAAATTTGTCACAATGTGTCCCTTTATTGGTGAAAAAGGCGGACTTATTTTTTCGTAGCAATAATTATTCATAACCCGCATTGACAAAAACGAGGCAGCATCTTTGCAATGAAATAAGAACTCCAAAACATTAAGCTTAATAATATGAAGTCCGATCCATGAAAGAAGATATAATCAGCCTACTTTTGTTGTTAAGGTTTACTGTGATGAAGTAGCAAGAATATTCTTATCCATTATACTATGTGAAATACTTTTAATACAAGAAAATTAATTCTCTCCTTGTCAGCAGAGCATCATCTCTGCATACAAGTAAACTGCTCCTACTGCTCCTCTTATTATATTATCAGTACAATATCTGATTAAACAGTGTCAACTGATAAAACTTATTGACAGGTTACAGGAACTCTTACATTGTGGTAGTAGATTTTTGTATTGTTCCTCTTCAGACTGTAGGTCATAGGTAGCATATTTTGGAATGTTATTCCACTTTACACACACAGACACACAGACACACACACACACACACACTCTTATACAGTTTCTTAGTTTAAAGGATAGACGATAGTTCAAGGACTCATCCTATTATTGCCAGTTAAGAAGACCTCAGGTAGCAAACTTGGACAAAGCTTGTGACTTGGAGAAGCACATGTAGAGTTAAAAATACTAGGCTGAATAAAGCAATCACCCACAGTTTAAAGCACTATCATAACTAAGCTATTGCTTTCAGGAAAGCCCCACTCTTGTAATTATGGCATTACTCTGAATTTTAGTTCTTACTTTTCCCATCAAGCTGAACAGAATTATGCACCTCTCTTTCTTCCAAATAAGTTCAACAATAGGCAGACAACACACACCTGTCAGCTGGGTCTTCAAATATTTTTTGCAGCCCAGAAGAGACATTGGGGCTTGAACTATGATCTGGATAACGTCTCAACTGTTGCTGGATTGGCAGAGGGTGGATTGTATCCTTTGAGATGTCATCGAGAATGCGTGGCAAAGGACCCAATTTTTCAACTGTTGCCTGTAGGAAGGAATTTTCACCCTGATTCGACAATAAGCAATGTGGCATTCATCATTTCAGGGTGTTTTTTTTTTTAATTAAACAATGAATGTGGATGGATGAGAGGAATTTGTAAGAAAACAAGATGGGCATTTGTATGTGGGTGTGAAAAACCACAATGCATTGTTATGGAGCAGCGGGACCAGAGTGATCCGGTGAGCCATGGATGGAGGAGACGACACAGAGTGCGGCAGACATTGAGGAAAGAAAAGGAAATAGAAATTAAAAATTGAGCCTTCAAAATAAAAAAGTTAATGCTCATAAAACCAATGCGTATCTATCCTGCAAAGCAAATTGCAATCAAAGCCCAGGGTAGAGGAGACAGGGTGGGATGGAGTAATGCTAAAATCACTATTAAATTAAAGTGTAATCCAGAAGACCAAAGACGGATTTTTGTTGGAAGCAAATGTTTGTCTGTGGGAGAGAGATTGTGGTCAATTGAATGCATGCTGCTAAAGTTTGAGACCAGCAATTCGGCAAGAGCACTGAAAGAAACCAAGACATATACAAAGGTATTTAAATCGTATTTTGTCTTATAGCTACTGACAGGAATGAACATTAAGCATATAATTTTTTTTTATAAACACAACAGCATTCTGTAACTTCCTGGATTGGATCTCAAGTGATCCCTCCAAAGATGATGGTAACTCCTTGCCTGATCATCACTGACGATTCTCAAGAAAGGAAGCAACACCGCATGGGAATGTATGTGTGTATGTATGTATGTACATATGTATAAATACGGTTGACTCTTGGCAAGTGCTGGACTACCTCCTGCAATTTTCTTAGCAGGATTTCAGAAGTGGTTTGCCACTGCCTCCTTCCTAGGATTGAGAGAATTTGTTTGGCCCAAGGTCATCCAGTTGGGTTTGTGTGCCTAAGGCAGGACTAGATTAGACTAGACTAGGACTAGAGCACGTCCCAGTTTCTAGCCTGGTGCCTTAACCATTACTTTTATTTTAGGAGAAGATAATGAATCCAACATAATTTTCTTTAAAACAAAATTGTTCTAAAGCAATATGAATGATGGATATTATGGGAGATATGATTTCATTTGCTTTAGTATTTAGGATTTTTTTTAAAAAAAATGCAACTTAACCCAAGCCCAAAGTGATGGAAGTTCAGCACCAATTAAATTTTACCACTGTCTTTCTACTGATCCCCAATGCTTAGTCGACGCTCTTTTAAGAAATGGATGACATTATAACCCCTTACTTTTTTTAAGGTTAAAATTAACCTTAATCATTACCCAGGAAGCAGCTTGTGGACACTCCTTGGACAGAAATGTGTCCAGCCAGTCCTTCCCAGCCTTTGAACTAATTTACCTTGTCCACCTCCCAAACAACTTCCCACAGCAAAGAATGCAAGACAGCAAACTCCTTCCCCAGGTCTATGTATCCTCCAAATCCTGGCTTATTAGCAATGGTGTCCTCGTTTGAAATTTCTGCCAAGAAGCATTTCATATGTGTCCATTCATGCTCTAGAAAGGCATTCATAAAGGTAATATATTCTTCTTTGTTCCCAAATCTGAGTTGGGGAGAGAGGAAAACAGGGAGAGAGGAGAAAGAAGGTCAGCAGTTTGGCAGGAAGTTCCCAGAGGAAACAGCGTGGTCTTACAATGCTGCTGAAGATATTCCAAGACACAAAGCAATATTTCTATGACTGAATGGCAATTTCTGCATGTAATACTTAAATAAAGTTGCAAGTAGTCATTATAGAGACACAAGTTAGTGTGAGAGAGCAGTCATTGTGCTTGGCATGTACTCCCCTTCCTCCCCCCACTATCTTTAGCAGTTTTCTTGGCTTCACAAAGTTTATTTGTCAAAAATTAGAACTGAAAAAAGGAGAAGCCGCACCTGAGTCCGCTTGTTAATAATAATACCATTAATTATCTTAATTATCCTATTTGACCCCAATCTGTAATAGTAGCAAGTGAAGTCCAAATTACCCATAAAGTCTAATTTTAATTTTGGAATTAGAAACTTCATCAGCTGGAGGCAATAAAGGTCGTAGACAATAGTAAGGAATGAATTTATTATTTCATCTTTTACTGCTGCCTTGAGGAAAATATTTTTTTTATAAACCTTTGGAGTAAAAAGATCTTCCCTGCCTCATGTGGGCAGTGTTAGTCGCATCCATGGAGGGTCATGCTAAAGTTATGTCTGTACTATCACAAAATACATGCAGTCTGCTTCTAACGGGAGAAAGTGATGTGTAGGATTCTGAATACCACTAGTGAAAGCTAACCAGTATCTGGGGTTAAGGCCAGGCTGCTTCCTCTTCTCTACCCACTGGCTCAGGATACAACTCATCCTGCTCCACTAACCTACATCAAGTGGGGACTTCTGTTTATAATGTTTTTATAGCTTTTTGATCTGAAACAGAGAAATGTAACTTTCAAATGTACATTTTTGAATATGAAATTTCAGCACATATAGAAGTCTTCTAATACTATGAACAGAGATAAGGCAAACCAGTTGTATATTACAGCTGTTGCCAACTCATTCCTATGAAATAACTAACACGACATAATGATAAAATAATAGCAAATCCCTTAATGGTCATTGCAAATAACAAAAATATCACTTACCTTGTGAAATTTGCTAAATTTTGGATAACCTTTGCAATTAGTGTTAGTGAACGAGAGGTATTATCATCAGGGTATTCCTGCATGAGGTTGAAGAGACTTGGAGACATGATGGCTGGGCAAAGGAATCGGAGGAAAAGTGAGGCACTGATCAAGCGTTCACTGATATCCTGCTTTCCCCGTTTGAGGCACTGCTGCTTCCATGATGCAAATACTTCCTTCAGCTCCCGGGGAAAGACACTGAAAAAAATAACAACATTTGGCAAATTCCCATTGGGATAAACAAGTGAAGTTGCTTCTCTTACTATGAAAGTCCAGTATTTCATTTATCAACACAATTGTCTTCACTTGGAAAAAAAACTATCTAGAATTATCAATAAATACTAATAACCACTTTCATAAGCTCGGGTACTAATGCTTCCCCTGACACGAATTTCATTCCTAATAAGTTGATATACTACGGATGGGACTGGGTGATCAGGCTAGATCCAACTCCAGTTCATCAGTATTGTCTCAGTCTAATGGCAAATGTTTCATAGCTGTAACCTAGTTTTGGCTGCACAAACCCTTATTATTTTTACAGGAGAATGAGAAGCATTAAATACTTCTGGATACATCTACTGATTTGCCTTAGATTCTGTATTTTGTTCTAGAAGGAGTCAGCACAGGTAAAATATGAATAGAAGTATGTTTCTTTGTATGTATAAAATCAATTGCAGACTCAATTGAGTATACTGCATTGTGTAAAAATGACACAAGAAACACATGCCACTCCCTTGTCTAATTCCTATTAAATGGGTTTGAAACAGCACAGCTGCTGGCTGACTTTGTCTATGGAATCCTTCACTTTTTCACAATTAAAACATTACATTCCTAGTGAAAGGGAAGATCGAAGAGAGCATCATGAATTTTAACTGTTTTCAGAGAGGCAGTGGGGTGTCTGGGGATACCTCCCTTGATGCCTTTGAGGCTCATTGAACTACCTGCCTTTCATTTTGCTAAATATCTCTTCATACTTAAAACATTCCAAAACTGAATTAGTTTTTCTAGCATTTGCTTCCGCAAGTAATCCTTGTAAATGACAAGAAATAATTCTTCATCCACTCACTAGTAGGTATTGACAATTTTGCAGAAGGCCAGCTCACAACACATTTTGAGATTTTCCTGGTGATCAGCTAACTCATTAGGTGGACTTTTGCCGGGATCCACTTCACAGTTCTCATCCGACTCATATAATGCCTTGATAAATTCACCTAACAATCAGGTAATAAGAACAAGGCAGAAGAAAAAAATTATTAAACAGGTTTGTAGATAATTTTGTTAGAACAAACAATTATGTTGCCTACTACACACAACAACAAATTCTCCTAAATGTGTCAGGACATTAATATTCCATAAGTCTCCACAAACATTTTTTCCCCTTCTCTGATTCGAAGTGACGTCAAATAACTCTACCTGAATGTAGAATAGAACACCTGTCCCTAGTATTGACAATATTCAACTAACAGGATGGCTCTGCTGCTAGAACATGATGATAATTAATAGGTAATATCAGAAGAAAGTGGTCCTCATCTCCGATTTTGCTTTGGTCTTCTCCCTATGTGGGGGCTGTGTTCTAATGGAGACGGTGGGAAAAATGATAAAAGGAGGGAATGGCCTCCTAAGGCATGTAAAGAAATGGTTAGGGAGCACCTAGCTAAACAAATAATGGATATCGATTTGGAGACTTTTTTAATTTTGGGGAAATCCTGGAGTATACAAGTGTCATAGCAGAGGACTGGAGAAGTGCAAACATTATTCATAATTACAAATAAACCTTCCTAGAAAAAAAAAAAGTAAACATTCTTTCTCCCAAAAGATTGTCTCATTTCTCTTTTACATATTATTTTCCCACTCCTTTTAAAATCCAAGTTTCTATTATAGGCTGACAAAATATGAGAAGAAAATGAAAATTTTTTAAAAAAAATCAACTGAAAGAAAAGCAGACAGCAATTATATATTCAGCAGTGTGGAATTTTACTGGAACCATTCATAATTCACACATTCTAAATATAAAATCCAGTTCTTTTAGCAAATGAAATGGTGAACCATTGTTTCCCAGTAATAACTGAAGCTATTGGCCTTATTATTTTAATTTTCAACTTGTGAGTTCTTAGCAACTTTCAAATCAAAGGTAGCTTATGGCCATGAACAATGATAAATTTCTTGTGTCACTCTATTAGCTGGACCGTCTTCAGCTTTCTAGCTAGATATCAGCTTTATTTTCTTTTAATAACTTATTGTATATTAGAATGGGGGGTGAGCACAGTGGCTTACGTAGTTCGGATGCTGGGTTGACAATGTGCAAGCCTGCGTTCGTAGCCCGAGTGAGTGCTACAGTGTGGCCAGCTCCTGTCATTCGCTCCAGCTCCTGCTCACCTACCAGTTCCAAAGCATGCAAATGCAAGTAGATAAATAGATATCACTTCAATGGGCTCATTAATGAAAGGAGCCCTCAACTGGGCATTCCCGGGGCAACTATGATGTCACTGGCTAATCCTTTCACCACGGAAGTATACTATAGTATTAGAACAGGAAACTAGGCGACTTGAAAGAAGAACAGAAATCTTCAGAATAGGGTCAGTTATTTAATACCCCCAATATACCACTTTTAAGTGAATTGGGATTTATTAAAGTTTCTTCTGCAGATACTGACAATGGAAAGAAAATGTTTGAGAGGCTTCATCTCTCAAAGCGACTTCCAAGAAGAGTTAACTAATTCATGAAACACAAGAATACAGTACTACGCAGTTCTGAGATGTCAAAAGCATTTCATTGCCAGCATCTTAGAGGAGCATTTTGAGCACATGAAATAGAACACCTGCACCCTTATGGGTGGTCTGTGTCCTCCTCAACCTTGGGCCATCTACCAGAGGCCTAGGACTCTGAGGGTTCGGTGTAGGTTCTCAGCTGTTCCTAGCTCTGCACAATTCCCTACAGAGAAGTGTAGTGTTTCTCCTAGGATTTTTAGAGCCACTCTCCCAGCTTAATAATTTACTATTATGTAAACCGTCCTTGGGTAATTTTAATAAGCTACGGTTCTCCAAAAGTGAGCACCGGTGCAATATGAGGGTTCAGGAAAGTGGATGTATTTGTCCACAATTTTGGACAAAAATGAGAATTATTTATTTAGAAGTACTATGGGATATCAGGATATAGAAGTTACAGATGAGCATTAAGCAGGAGAGCACTAGGAATCAAATTAAGAGAAGGGCAAGGAAAGCATATGATGCTTACATTAATTACCATTAATCTATTCTCTATAGATTAGACTTCACCCAAGTTATTTCCCATGAGTTTGGGTTAAAGGGATTTATTATAGTTTTTAACAGTATAAAGGGACTTGGAATTAAAATGGTAGAACAGGAAGATAAATTAGGAATAGAAGACAGATTAAGGTATTCTAATATACATTGAAAGCCACATACGTATATTGCATGGCTGAATAATGTGAATAATGAAAACTTTCTGCTTCTTTAAAGAAATTTAACATTCTCGAGATTGTTAGAATCTAAAACAGATACTGTATTTCACCCCACATCCAGGTATTTGGATTGGGCTACTTCCAACTAATTTTTCTGACCCAATGATGATTCAGCAACTTGGATCACCTCTTCTCCCTTAATGGCTTCACAATAAACTTTCAAAATAAGAAATAACATGTATAATCATTCAGAAATGTTTCTATACCTAGTGCATCTTGAAGATACTTCTGTCCCACCAACTTGAGATATTCCTCAATGGATTTGGTGGCAAGTGTATTTTCTCTGAAGATCAACTCATCATGATCCCCACAGCGATCTACTTCAGACATCACCAGATCAGTCAAGAAATCCTGAAAGGAAAAAAATGTTAGAAAAAAAGATGGTGTATATAATGGTAGGGATACTCTATGGACAGAAGTTTGGATAGAATATGCCATAATGACTGACTCAGCAGAAAAGTGAAAATGCTGAAAGAGTGACAGTGCCTCCTATTAAGGAAACCAAGGTATTTAGAGACTGTTAGATGTATTCAATTGAACTATTTGCCTCAAATATTCTTTTTGGATAATCAAGATGCAGATATACAGTAGAATCTCTGGTCACGAACACTTCTGACCACAACCAAATGGGTTCCGACCAAAAAATTCACATTTTTTTTTAATCTGGTCATGAACACATACTCGGGTCGCGATCAAACATGACCCCTGACCCAGAAATTCCTGAAGACAAAACTTTAGAAGACAAAGAAATCACCAAAGGAACATATCCTTCAATGAAGCCTCCAACTTGGGGCCAGCTTGCTACTGAGACAGACTAACACCTGATCAAAAAAATCCAACAGAAAAACAGTGTTTTCTGGTGAAAAATAGAATAAGCCTAGTAAATATTCTAGGAAGAACCTGAAGGAAATTGGTGGCTTACAGGACACCCATTAGCCTACTGTAGGATTGCCCCCTCCCATCCAGCCACAAGGATCTATGCCTTTGCAGGCATTTCTGCTTTAATTACTAGAGGGGATACAGCCTTGACAGATTAAGATCTAACTGAACACCTCTACTTAGTCCTACTTTGGAACACCTTCTGAGAAAAAGGGTACTCCATGTATAAGTCACATAGCAGACAATATGTTGCAGAGTAGAATTGGATTGTGGGCTTTGGTTGCTATTGGGTGCAATCTGTGCAATAATTAAGTCTGTGCAGAGGAAAGGTCATGAGACAAATTTAATTAGAGAACAGTAAAGAAGTTTACTTTTTTATTAGTTAGAACTTACCAACAACAAACTTTAAAAAAAAGAAGGTAATGTCCAACATAGCAATTAGCAAACTTTGATCCCATATATCAATCTACACATTCTAAACTTTAATCTAATCCTGCACCAATACAACCAGTTTACCCACGTTAGAGTACAGTCGGGTAGAGGAGTGGGAGTGGTTGAAGAAGATGTTACATTCTCTCTGTGGTGGTGGTGGTGGTGGTGTGTGTCTATACACACACACACACATACACACACACATTGTATTTCCCTTTCCCAGAAAATAAGACCTGGTCACCAAAAAAGTACCAGATCTTATTTTCAGGGGATGTCTTCCACTGACTCACCTCACGGCGGCAGCACCGACAGCCCTGGCCAGCAGGAGCCTGCTGCCAGCCCACTCCTTCTGTGGTCGCTTGTTGGCCTCCGTTTCACTGTCGGAGGCTTCAGGAAAGGCCTCCGAAGCCAGGAAACAGGCTCTGGATTCACACGCGCGGTACCCCCCAGCCTTGTTTCCCCATCAGAGGCCTTCAGGAAAGACCTCTGCAGCTGAGAAACGAGGTCTGGATTGATGTGTGCATAATATATACATGTATGTTTAAGGGAGACAACTGCAAGAGTAACCCTCTGCATGGAGAAACATCCTTAGTATGTTACAACAGAGGACCTGCACATATTTCTTTCATCTTTGTAAACTCAGAGTGACTCAAGATTGGTTCCCCCTGTCTGAGTTTGCTATCTGTGTTTTGTGCCTACTTTGCTCTTTAACAGTTTGTTGCCAACAACCTCCATAGGAATTGTGAGTAATTAGCAAAGACAGGCTACATCCAGCCTTTTCTCTTCTGGAAAAGTAGCCTCCAGGACTGGCCGGATGTGGAACAAAATAATTGCTGAATTGTCTATTTGAACTTAATCAACTGACAGACAGTTTTCTCCGTTCCTGGAAGAAACAGCAACCTTGTATTCCCAGAGGTCACTATTCCTATTCACACTTTTCACGCCTCCCCTATGGCATTCCAGGTTTTGCCATGATGGTGTAAAGCAGGGGTGTCCAACCTTGGCAACTTTAAGACTTGTGGACTTCAACTCCCAGAATTCCTCAGCCAGCTTTGCTGGCTGAGGAATTCTGGGAGTTGAAGTCC